CTGGGCAGGCGTGGATGGAGGCAGGAGGGCCTCCTGCTCCTGCATCTCACTCTTCCCATGCCAGCCCTGCTCCATCTGCTGGCAAGAACAATGCGGAGCCTCCCACATTGTTCTTGCCCGCCGGGATCCAGCTCCTCCTGCGGTTTCCCCAGCCCAGATTGCCTCCATGGCCTCATTTCATCTGCCACAAGGGCCAAGGGTGGCAAGTGCAGAGCTTCCCCAGGCAGAGGAGGGAGAACAACCCTTTCTCTCGGGTTACAGGATGAGGAGCTGCCCTCCCATGAGCTTCCCTCTATTTTTGCTTCTAACATATCATCAAGGTTACAAAGGAGCAAATTAAGTATTGCGCACGCTGCGTATTCGCCGTCTGATCTACTGGTTGGGAACCTGATTTCATTGCTCACTTGTGGTCAGCCAAGCCCCAGTGAAAATGCCCTGCAAATTCCCCAAGACTGTGTGGCAGAGTGGGATACTGCTGGGGACGGGATGAGATGGCAGCATCAGCTCCTGTCTCAGCAAGTGCCCAGGAAACCAGGGTGCAGCTGTGAAAGGTCTTCAGGGGAAACATGAGCACTTTGATGCTCTGGTTTGCTGCTCAGCACTTTGCAAGGTTATTGTTTAGGCTTTACCTCCATTTTTCCCTTGCCTATTAGGTGTTTAAGAGGAAAGCTCTGGTCTTTTCAAAATATGGAAGCAACATGGAAAGCATTTGCCATGTATGAATGACATTGCAAACTTGACTCACTCTTCTCTGTGCAAGGAAACGCAGGCTGGAGCCCCAGTGCTGTGCTGTGCAGAGGCTTTAAGAAAGCTCCCCTGCGAAAGGCAGTGGGATTTTTAGCTCTGGTACCATTGGCACTAAATAATTTTTCCTCTTATCCTGCCTTCTGTTATTGGGAAATCATCTGCCGTGGATTTTGCTTCTCTCTTCCATATGGGAAAAGCGTTGTGTTCATCCTCCTGCGGTCCTTACAGATGGCATCTCTTTCAGCTCCGCATTAGAGGCGGTCAGGTGAATGGGGTGGGCTGAGGTTCCCCACGTCAGCCGTTCCCTCGGGGAGGGAAGAAGGGCAGCCAGTGTCACATCAATATTTACAGAAAGTTTAGTCTCTAGTGGATTTCCCTACTCGAATGAAACAATAGGAGGGTCTGGTGCTATACTATCCATACTTCCTCTTTATTCAGATTTTATCTGTGAATTCTTGCAAATAATAGATGACTGAGACCATTATTGTTCTGGGAAATAGGAAGATGAAAACATTAGACAGACCTTAGCGATTTCAATGGACTTATTCATGGTGTGTTTAGTTATGCAAGTCTTTGCAGAGTCAGGAACTAACAAAATACCTGTTGGAATAAGTAATAATCCTGTGTGTTCACAAAAGCAGCTCTCTTATGGCTCGTTTTTAATAAGAGATACTGCCTCAGTCAACCAAATGCTACAGAGTTCAGAACAAAAAAAAGAAAACATACATAGCTCCACTCTTAATGCCACAAGACATTGGGAAGCAATCCATTCCAGCTCTTCTATGTCTCTGCTTTAATACAGGCATTCTCAATGTAAATTGCATGCTGGTGATTAATAGATCTTCTATCAATTGAACTTGAACTGAAGTCAAAAGAAGATACTCTTTCTTTTTTTTTTTTCCCCTTTCTTTTCTAAACCTGCATTAAAAAAGGTTGTTCAGAGATCCTGGAATGAAAAGTGCTAGGTCAAAACTCACATTTTTCTAGCAAGTCTATGAAAACTTACTTTTAAAGGTCGCATGCCGTAGAATCTCAATTATCCTGGAAGGCTTATCCAGGTTATGGCTTAAGTACACTATTCATATGGTGCCAGATTGTTCTAGAAGTATAAGATGGGCTGCAGCGCCTCGCAAAGCAGCTAAACTCTTCCCTGGGCCAGACAGAGTCCAGAAGCAGTTCAACGGTTTGTCTCGAGCTAAGAAGTCCTGCAGCCGCCCGCTAGCCCCGCGCAGAGCTGGGCTGTGCCTCAGTGCTACAAGCCACCGAGCCGTGTGAGTCCTCTGCAGTTCTGGCAGGATTCTGTGTCTGCCTCTGCATCACGTCCCGAACTTTGGGAAGTCTTCTTCATTTAGGAACATTGCCATACGACTGCACAGAGCCGGCTTTGGTGTGGTGCTCTGTGGAAGCTAAGAAGTCTTCATGGGTACCACCTGTCTGTCCGTGGACTAAAACCTCCTGCATCGCTCATCTGTTATTATTTTCCATTATCTAGGACCTTTCCTTCTCCTCCTTTTCACCTCAGGTAAAGGGGAGCTGTTTGTATATCCATGAGCTTAATACCTACTGGTCTTGGAAGAACTCCTCTGGCTCATTGTACTTTAACGTTGTTCACATTTTTGATGCATATGCAATTAATAAAATTTGGGCAAAACTTTAAAGTTTTGACTATACGCTGATAATGAATTTTACGTCCTCCATGAAGTAGTGTTAAAACTTGCTACCCACAAGGACTAATTACTAAGAGGAGATTTTACTCTGAAAGGAGAGCTTTCTCTCCTCTGCGCAGCCTTCCTCAAACAAACATTTCCAGTTAGGCAAATAGGGTGTCGTGGTTTAACCCCAGTCGGCAACTAAGCACCACACAGCCGCTTGCTCATGCTCCCAAAGGTTTTTTTGTGGGTCTTGTGGCATTTAGTGTTCCTATTGATCTCCCAAATTCAGGGCAGCAGCGACTGTGTGAGAAACTTCGCTTCTAGTTTCCAAAAGAAATGCCTAGCTTTTTGGGAAGAGATGCCCAAGGCAAAAAGGTGAAGACAAGGTAAAAAAGGACATGCAGTTTCGGCTCACCTTGCACAAGTCCATCAATTCAGGCGAAGGTACCTTGTGAACTGAAAGCCCGAATGGTGCAAACTAATTCAGAATAAAGCAGTATTAGTGTGAAATACATGTCCAGCACAGGGGAGGGGAGTTATGCAAGCGAAGCTACTCTGCAGCAACTCCCAATGTGGATAAGCCCTTAATTACTTCTAAAATCTCACCATTACTAAGTCATGCTTATAATTTCTAGAGGCCTCGAGTTTCTGGAACAACTGGAGTATGAGATTCAATTGCATTCACGTCAGCGGAGGATGCAGTTAAGTATGGGCACGTTCGTAGGCTTGGGGCCGGTCATTAACTAATTGGTGTAGGGGAACATTTAAGTTTTTCCCATGTGATTTTGCAAAGTTATTTGGCAATATTTGCTTACGAGCCTTTTTTCAC